TTTAACAGTTCTTGAAACACTGGCCAGAGCAATTAGACAGATGAAAGAAATTAAAGGATACATATAGGTAAAGAAGAACTTAAAGTATCACTATTTGCCGACGATATGATTCTATACCTAGAAGACCCCAAAAAATTTCACCATAAAACTTCTAGAACTAGTAAATGAATTCAGCAAAGTAGCAGGATACAGAATCAATGTTGATAAATCAAAGGCATTTCTGTATATCAGTGACAAATCCTTTGAAAAGGAAATGAGGAAAACTATCGCATTTACAATAGCCTCAAAAAAAAAAATCCTTGGGAATCAATCTAACAAAACAGATGAAAGACCTCTACAACGAAAACTTTAGAACACTAAAGAAAGAAATTAAAGAGTAACTTAGAAGATGGAAAATCCCTTGCTCTTGGATATGCAGAATTAATATTGTCAAAATGACCATACTACCAAAAGCACTACACAGATTTAATGCATTCCAATCAAAATCCCAATGACATTCCTCATAGAAACAGGAAAAGCAGTCATGAAATTCATCTAGAAAAATAAGAGACTATATCAGACCTGAAGCTATGCTACAGAGCAATAGTAACAAAACCAGCATGACATTGGCACCAGAATAGACTGGTAGTCCAATGGTACAGAACAGAGGACACAGAGACCAACCCACATAAATACAGTTATCTTATATTAGATAAAGGTGCCAAAAACATACATTGGAGAAAAGATTGCCTCTTCAACAAATGGTGCTGGGAGAACCAGAAATCCATATGCAACAAAATGAAATTAAACCCCTCTCTCTCACCATACACAAAACTCAACTCAAAGTGGATCAAGGACCTAGGAATTAAAACCAGAGACCTTGCGTCTAATAGAAGAAAAAGTAGCCCCTAATCTCTATCATATCAGATTAAGCCCCTACTTCCTTATTAAGACTACTATAGCACAAGATTTAAAATCAAGAATTAATAAATGGAGCTGGGATTGTGGCTCAGTAGCAGAGTGCTTGCTTCGCTTGTATGAGGTACTGGGTTCAATCCTCAACACCACATAAAAATAAATAAAGGTATTGTGTCCATCTACAACTAAAAAAAAAATTATAAAGAATAAATTGGATGTATTCAAACTAAAGAATTTCTTTTCAGCAAAAGAAACAATCAGTGAAGTGACTAGAGAGCCTATAGCTTGGGAGCAAATTTTTACCACTTGAACATCAGAGCACTAATCTCTCGGGAATATAAAGAACTCAAAAAGCTAAACACCAAAATAACAAATAACCCAATTAATAAATGAACCAAGGAACTGAAGAGACACTTCTCAGAAGGTGATATACAGTCAATCAAAAAATATATAAAAAAATTTCCAACATCTCTAGCTATTAGAGAAATGCAAATCAAAACATCTCTAAGATTTTATCTCTAGTCAGAATGGCAGCTATTAAGAATATAAATAACAATAAGTGTTGGCGAGGATGTGGGGAAAAAGGCACACTCAGACATTGCTGGTGGGACTGCAAATTGGTGCATCCATCTGGAAAGCAGTATGGAGATTCCTTGGAAAACTTGGAATGGAACCACCATTTGACCCAGCTATCCCACTCCTCGGTTTATACCCAAAGGACTTAAAAACAGCATACCACAGGGACACAGCCGAATCAATGTTTATGGCAGCACAATTCACAATAGCTAAACTGTGAAACCAACCTAGATGCCCTTCAGTAGATGAATGGATAAAGAAACTGTGGTACATATATACAACGGAACATTACTCAGGCAATAAAAGAGAATAAAATCATGCAATTTGCAGGTAAATGGATAGAGTTGGTGAAGATAATGCCAAGTGAAGTTAGTGAATCCCAAAAAACCAAATGCTGAATGTTTTCTCTGATATAAGGAGGTTGATTCATAGTGGGATTGGGAAGGGAAGCATGGGAAAATTAGATGAACTCTAGAAAGGCAAAGGGGATGGAGGGAAAGGGAGTGGGCAAGGGGTGTAAAAAAGATGGTGGAATGAGATGGACACCATTATCATAAATACATGTGCGAAGACATGAATGGTGTGAACATACTTTGTGTACAACTTGAGATATGAAAAATTGTGCTCTATATGTGTAACATGAATTGTAATGCATTCTGATGTCATATATAACAAATTAGAATATAAAATAAAATTAAAAATGTAAAAAAATAGATAATATATCAACTTTATATATATTCTTAGTACTCATCCTATGATGGGTGCATGACTTGGAGTTATTTTCAGATATTTGCATGCTTAATTTTAGCTTAAAAATTAAGTTTGAGGGCTGGGGATATAGCTCAGTTGGTAGAGCGCTTGCCTCACATGCACAAGGCTCTGGGTTTGATCCCCAGCACCACATACATGCACACACAAAAATATAAACAATATTCTACTTAACATAATGGGGCTTGTTACTGATTTATACTCAATAAAGGTCTTAATATATAGTGTTTGCCACCAAAATTATGAGTTATTTCCAGTCAAAGGGTTTTCTCCCCACTTGTTAGATATAAGGTATAGTTATTAAAAAATATATAAAATTAGGTTTCTTAGATTCAGATATACTTTTGCAATTTTTGAACAAGGTAGGCATCTTGTGAAACTCTTCCAAGGTCATTTTTTAAAAAGTCATCAAACATTAAAGTATATGTGAGGCTTACATTAAAAACTGTACTTGAGGATTGGGTAGCTTAGTGGCAGAACAATTGCCTACTATATGTGAGGACCTTGAGTTCAATGCCCAGAAACACAAAAAATAAAATATAAATTTAAAAAACTGTAGTTCAAAGACATTTCTCAGGAACTGGATTTAGTAATATGTAAAGAAGACTAAAATGAATAACTTCATTTGTAATATTAAAAAAAATCTAATGATTATACAGAAGCAGTTTTAAATTATTCTGTGGATACTTAAGGAAGATATATTTTACTTTGGAGACAAGAATAAAAATAGGAATTTCCTTTCCTCTCTGAATTATAGCCCATGCTGTACTAAGTGCTGCTAGACTTTTCATTTCATTGCTGACTTTAAATAGTTTTGTGTATGTTTTTATCTAGATATTCACCATTAAGAGACGCTTTTTCAAATAGCCTATGTCTTCAGTTTTTAAGACTTTTTTTTTTTTAATAATTAGGGTTTAGGATGATTTTTTGACCCTACAACAACAATAATAATATAATAATGGCTCATGATAGCTCTCTCTTATCTGCTAGGTATTGTATAAATCTGCATGCATTTCTCTTTTTTAACCGTTTTACGAGGTATAAATATTGTTATTATCCTATTTTGTAAGTAAAGAGTTAGGTCTCGAAAAAGCAACTAATAAAAAAAAATGAAAAAAAAACATGGAAGAGGAATTTGATGATTTAAACAGGAAGAGAACTGCTTATTTGGGGACAAGAGAAAAAGAGAGAAGGTAAAAACACCAAAAAAGACTTTGAGATAGACAAGTAGGAAGTTAATACAATAACCTCAAAATGATCAGTAGAAGTCAGGCACAGTGGTGCATGCCTGTAATCCCAGTGACTCAGAAGGCTAAGACAGAAGGACCATACGTTTGAGGCCAACTACGTAACTTACCAAGACATTGTCTCAAAATTAAAAATAAAATAAAAAGGGCTGGGGATGGAGCTCAGTGGTAGAGCACCACTGTGTACATTCCCTGGTAATGCAAAAAAAATCAGTAGAAGATGAGGTAGCTTAGAGAGAAAGGAGGGTGGTATCAGCCACTCAAGGACAGCAGGGAAAACTCTTGACTTTTACATAGTTTTGATGTTTAGGCATCAATGCCATGTGACTCACTGGATTTTTCTAGAAAGTGTCACTTTATTCTATGCCATGGACCACACCTATAATCTCTACCTGAGTGGTCAAGATGGTTCAGGACCAGTGTGGATAGATCAGCACAAAAATCCTACCACCACAACTGGAGAGAAGAGAGAGCACAAGCCTTCCAGATAATTGTGAATATGTACTGAGGCCTGGCTCCATACCAGGTGCTGTGTTGCATGCTTGACTTAAATTATCTCAAGTGTCTATTTTAGGATTTTTTGAGTGTATGACACAAGTAATATACACACAAACATATATTCTCCTTTGTTTAAAAGGAGAAGTTGCCAGTACATGAGATAAATAATTCAGTTAGAGATTCACTCTTTCTCTTTGGTGTATCATGGTTCAGACATTTTGCTTTGCATCGTGTTATGGTCATGTATAAAGGTACACAAAAGGTATCTATGCAACTTGTTATTTTCACTTTGTAATATATAATGAGTATATTCCCATGCAAGAAAAAGAAAAAGTTCAAGGTCAGTAAGTAACAGAGACAAGATATTTGAGTAAAGTTTTCTAATTCCAAGAAACACTAGTGCTTAACATTTATTGATAAACTGTACTGATGGTTGCATTAACCTCAGTTATCAACAAACAACTGTAGATACTGGACAATTATTTGTTAGGAAAGCACACCAGTGTATTTTTCAAGGGATTTTTAACAGCAGGAATTAAGTCAGTGGTTTGGTAATATTCTGTTAACCAATTAATTATCATTACCCTGCCTTAAAGGATTTTTAGTAATCCTTATTTTTTGTTTGCTTTTTTTAGTGTGATTTGCAGTTATCTATGTCATAGTGTTAATTTTTACTAATTTCATGGTGGTTCATAAGGAGTTGGACAAAGCAAAGTGTCTCTCCACATTTTATAGTGACTCTATTTAGAACCTAAAATAGGCAGTTCTTGATGATGTTCTTTTGAGAGATGTATTTGCTTTATTCTGATTCTTAAATCATTGCATATAGACTTCATATACACATACATATATTTTAAGAATTAGTTCCTCCTTGTATGCCAAGTAGGATGAGTTAAGAAATAGATTATGAATCACAATTTACCATCTTGTGCTTGCTTATTCTTATATGAATGTTTTGATGATAATTACATAGGCTAACATAAATAATCCTAATAGTTTATATCCCTCTTACAGATTTTATTAAACAAAGGAGAGCAGGACTGAATGAGTTCATTCAGAACTTAGTCAGATACCCAGAGCTTTACAACCAGTAAGTAATTTTTATTATGTTCTAAAGAGACAGTGAAATGAAACCTAAAAATATTAATAAGCCTCAGACAGATTTTATCCTATGAAATGTTATTGTGCTGTGTATGTTTGTAAAATCTTCCTGAAGCATTTCCCTTCTTGTTTTTATTTTGTTTGTTTTTTTGGCAATGCTGGGAAATAAACCCAGGGCCTTATGCATGCCAATGCCAGGCATTCTACCACTGAGCCTCATCCCCAGCCCCTTCTCCTGTTGTGTCTTATCCTCTTTCCCTTCAACAACTTGTCTTAGTGATTTTCTTCCTTTCTTTTGTTCTTTATAAATTTATAAATTAAACTTGAAAGAAATTTGCATGATACAGTTAAAACATTTTGCTGATTATTTGATATTTATCCCTGCCTTCAAAAAATATTTAAGTACCCACTATATACATTGGGAATATAAAGCTAAATGAACACTGTCCCTGCCTTCTAGTGGTTCTATCTAGTGGAAGAAACAGATATAAATAGGGAACTGAAGCCAGGTAATTTTTATGATAGAGATGCTAGAAGATAATAGAAAAATGTGATCTGCTGTGCTCATGGACCTGAAGGATGTGTAATCATCCAGAAAAGAACACAAAGATAGGGAGAGCATTCAAGCCAAATGGAGTGTTACCTATTAACAGAGGATGCAAAAGCCTGAAACATCAAGATGTTCAAGTATTTACATTGCATGGTACCTGGAACAAAATAGATTTTCAGAAAGTAGATGAAACTGAACGCATTGGCAGGATTCAAGCACATATTGTCACCATGTTCTCTGCTACCACCACAGGCTTCCAGCCCTCATCACAGTATTCCATGCAGCCATGTAAGATGAAGGCATTACCTAGCCCTGTGTGTATCTTGTGCTAATGAGTTTAAGTTTCCTTCTGTAGGCCAGCAGCTCCAGATGAGGGGAGGAGGTAGGTCAGAAATACTTAGGAAATGATAGGCAGAACTGTGGTTTCATTTGTTTCTTAATTTTTAAGCCTGATGGTTTATTCTTGGGCATTGATTGTGTTGTGATTTGTAGCTTATATGTGTGTATAATCCCAACTAATCTGGAGGGCTGAGGCAGGAGGATTACAAGTTCAAAGCCAACCTCAGCAATTTAGTGAGACCCTTTTTCAAAATTAAAAATAAATAAGTAAATAAATAAATAAATAAAAAGGGCTAGGGATGTACCTCAGTAATAGAGTACCCCTTGTTCAGTATCCAAACAAACAAAAAAAACAACAATAAAAAAAGAAGAAGAAGAAAAAGAGGATAAAATAAAATATCAGGGAGCTTTTTACATTACACAGATAGGTTCAGATCACCTATTTGTGTAATGTAAAAGTTGCATTTTTACATTGACAATGTTGAACAGGATAAATGTTTATCAGATTTTTCAGAATCTCAACACTGAAGAACTATATTTTTGAGCAGTTTTAATTTTTGTGTCTGTGGTATGGTGAATTAAACCCAAGGCCTTGCACATGCTAGATAAGCACCCTACTGCTCAGCTGCATTCTCAGCCCTAAGCCATTTTTCTAAAAATGACGATTGCCGTTTATATAGTACTTTACAGTTCATGGAGGACTTCTTCCATTCTGAGTAAGTGCTCTGATCTTTTTAAGCTTATTTTAATTTACTAAATTATTTATTTAATTTACTAAATTAACCAAAATATTATGACTGGACCCCGTCTGACATGATCTGCCTATGGCTATGTTTCCCCCTCATAATCACAGAACAAGGTTCATGGAGGTCCTGCTCTTGTAGTAGTAGCACCAGGATTGCCAGTGCAGTAAAAACAGTGCTTTTTATTTCAAAGTTGAAGAGCATTCTTTGAGAGTTCCCATGTCAGGACTATTCCTCTGCAAAGAGCCTTTTATTATTTGGTTCTTTGTATATATATTTTTTAACCTTATGCCTTTTCCCTAGCACAAGTTTTATGTTGTCTTCATTTTGTATCTACTCTTCCAACCCCTAATTTTTGCTGTATGCAGGGGAGATTTCTTTAAATTGGCATATCAGTGGCAAGTGTTAGTCAAAACTTCCAACACTGTATACTGAATGCTGAGTATTCATTCTGGCCCTTGAACTGTGCCATTATAAAGATTTTAATGTTTAGCATCAAAATTAACTAAAAACAATTTTGTTATTTTTAATTACCAATTTTAAAAATATTGAACTGTAAAACACATAATTTGTAAGTATGCAACCAATGGATTTTTTTTTAAACATACACCTGTATACCTTGTAACTCTGCCATGCCATTCAGGATAGAAGACATGAACAGCACCCCAAAAATAAGTAGCCAAGAGTTTTTTAAACTTAATTATTTTTTCCTTTTTGCACTTCCTCCCTTCCTTTCTTATGCCATTAACAAATCTTTTGTTACACAATGTGCAAATATTGTGCTGGTGATATAAAATTATTTATATAATGTATTAGCATTTAATGCTAACCAAGGCTGAAAGAGTCTTTAGGATGTTCATATACTGTTAAGAGAGAATAAATTGGTACAGCCCTTTTGGAAATCAGTTTAACAGATTATATTTGAAGTCTTAAAATTGTTTATAATTTAGACCAAGTGTTTTTAATTTTAAAAATCTATCCTGAAAATCATAAATTCAGTTCTAGGATTTGGCACAAAGATTGTCAGTTGTAACATTATTTGTAGTAGTGAAAGTTGTGTAGTAAAAAGTTGGAAGCCACTATGTATCCTAAAGTGGAAAAATTTGAATAACTTTCAGTGCATCTGTATTTTACATCATACATCTATAAAAACTCATTGTTTACAAAGAGCTTTTAACAACACAGGCAAATGTTTTTGCTGTAATTTTTAAGTAAAAAACAGTAAGATACAAATTTTCCAGAGAAAAACACCAAATTAAAGTTTGCCAAAGTGTTTAATAGTGGTGGCCTCTGTGTGGTAAGATTGAAAATCCTTTTCTCACCTTTAATTTTTTTTTTTAATGGTAACAGGGATTGAACCCAAGGGCATTTAAACATTGAGCCTCTACCTACTTTTTATTTTTTATTTTTTGAATATTTATTTTTTAGTTGTAGATGGATACAATACTTTTATTTTACTTATTTATTTTTATGTGGTGCTGAGGATCGAACCCAGGGCCTCTCATGTGCTAAGTGAGCGCTGTATCACTGAACCACAACCTCAGCCCCTTATTTTTTATTTTGAGACAGATCTCACTAAGTTGCTGAGGGCTTCACTAAGTTGCTGAGGCTGACTTTGAATTTGCAATCCTCCTGCCTCAGCCTCCTATTAGCTGGGATTATGTACCACCATACCTGGTTAAAATTGTTGACTGAGATAGAATTCACTATTTTAACTATTTTAAATTGTAGAATTCAGTAGTTTTTAATATATTCACAATGTGCAACCATCATTACTGTCATCCCAAGTTTAATGTGACGTTTCTACCACCCCGCAAAAGGAATACCTCCACATTCTTTCTTCCTCCAGTTCTTGGCAACCACTAACCTACTTTTTAATCTCTAAAGACTGCTGATCTGAAACATTTCTATATATTTTTTGTTGTTGTTGTAGATGGACACAATATCTTTTATTTTATTTCTTTATTTTTATATGGTGCTGAGGATGGAACCCAGTGCCTTACATGTGCGATGCAAATGCTGTATCACTGAGCTAACCCCAGCTCCTCTTTCCAACTTTTATTTTGTGGGGTGCGTACCAGGAATTGAATTCAGGGACACTTGACCAATAAGCCACTTCCCCCGCCCTATTTTGTATTTTATTTAGAGACAGGGTCTCACTGAGTTGCTTAGCACCTCGCTTTTGCTGAGACTGGCTTTGAACTCGCAATCCTCCTGCCTCAGCCTCCCAAGCACTGGGATTACAGGCATGCACCACTGTCTTGGCTCTTACCAACTTGATATTATTATCTTTCTAACTTTTGCCAGTTAATGAATATAAAGTGTTACTTCATAATCATTTAATTTGTATTTCTCAGATTTCATAGTAAAGTTAGCATCTTCACAAATTTGCTTGGTGTTTGGGTTTCCTCTTCTATGAACTGATTATATCTTTGATATTTGTTGTGGTCCCTGTTTATTAAAAAGTTAATTTAATTATTCCTTTTACAATAAAGAATTTTAATACATTTTGCTTAGCTTTCTAGTTATAAATGCTAAAATAGTGATTTCTCTTTTGATTTTTAAAGTGGAGAAAGTCTCTAGACATGCTTTCAAGCTCATAATAAAATTAATTTTTGTTTTTAGTCCAGATGTCAGAGCATTCCTTCAAATGGATAGCCCCAGACATCAGTCAGATCCATCTGAAGATGAGGATGAAAGAAGTACTCAGAAGGTAGTAAGAGAAATTATGGGGTTTTTTTAACAGAAAAATTACTATATTCCCAAAATGAAATTAGCTACTTTAGGATGACATTTATTCAAAAGGAAGTCATTTTATGCATAGATTTTTATCTGTAGTAGATTTTCTTACTCTTGAGGATTCCAAATCCAAAAAACAATATATATACCAATTACTGATCACTATTTCTTAGAAAATGCACTATTTCTTATAAAATACTTTTTATAGTAAACAATCTAATGCAAGTTAAAGAAAAATTTGAAAATAAAAGGTAAGAAGAAAAAAACTACCCATATTATTGCCACCCAGACCTAGTAATTTTAACATCTTAATGATTTTCTTTTCAGTGTTGTCTTAATGTGTAAGATTTTTTAATTTATCTAAATTACATAGTGTGTATAACTTTATATTCTGCTTTCTTCAGTTTATATCATTTTTTTTACCATTGTATATATTTGTCATCATCATACCTGAAACTATTGTTTTGAATTTTGGTCAGCAGGAAGGACCTTATTCAACAAAAATATATATCCCTTCCTTGGCATTGTCAGGGTTTTTTGTATAAAATAGTCAGTATACCTGTATCAGTTGGCGTTCACTTGTATATATTTATTTTTTTAAACACTTTAAAAAAATTTTTGTAGTTGTAGATGGACAGAATGCCTTTATTTTATTTGTTTATATATTTATTTTTTATGTGGTGCTGAGGATCAAACCCAGTGCCTCACGCATGCTAGTCAAGTGCTCTGCCACTGAGCTATAGCCCCAGCCCTCCACTTTTATTTTTGTTCTATATATACATAGTCATCAGGCATCTCCAATAATTAGGCTATTCTTAATTTTTATAGTAGATTGAGATAGCAAATAAGTAAAATAAGCTTGTGTCTTATGAAGATATTTCCCACATTTACCTTTGAAAGCTATGGGTAAAGGTAAATTATGATAATATAATCACAAATTCTATATAAATAAGATAGTACCTTTATAATTCAGAATTTATTAACTATTGAATATGTATAAGAAACTTAGAAGAGTTTTATTGAAGTCATTTTTCTTTATAGTGTCTTTTAATTGTGTTATGGTTCTACTTTGGTGTTTTAAAAGATAATAGTATGAGGGCTAGAGTTGTAGCTCAGTGGTAGAGCACTTGCCTAGCACCTGTGAGGCACTGGGTTCCATCCTGTGCACCACATAAAAATAAATAAAGGTATTGTGTCCATTTACAACTAAATTTTTTTTAAAAAGATAATAATGTGAATTGGAACATTAGAGCTAAAGTCTTTTGGAAAATAGACATATTTCTTTTATGCGACTTCTTTTTAGCATTTTTAGTTTGATATTTTTTATTGATTTTTTTAAAATAAATGACAGCGGAATGCATAATAATTCATAGAAAGTAATATTTTTCCTTCTCTGATGCCCCAGGAGAATTCCCAGTTAAGAGAACAGAGTTAACTCTGGCAGCTCTAACATGGTTGCTCCTAGGACAATGTAAAAGAATATTTTTATTTTATCTCCATGTACCTAGTCAGGAAACAACAGCAACAACAAATGGGGAAACATTTGCATAAGAAGAAAAGGTTTTTCCAACTTTGATGCTAATAGCAAATGAATTTTATTGGCTTTTGTGTGAGTGAGAGAAAGAAAATATTATGCTGGAGATTGAATCCTCAGTCTCACATATGCTAGGCAAGCACTGTACCACTGACCTATCCCCAGTCCACGAATGAAATTTTTAAAGGAGAGATTTTTATTTCTCTACCTAATTAACAAAAGTATAAAGTAAATAAAATACTGCAGGACTGATGAAGACAGGTACAACAAGAACCATTGGGCATTACTGGTGTCATGATTTTATGCAACTCTTCGGGAAAACAATTCATTATGTATCAAATTTTTATTTGATTCTATTCACTTAGGAATTTATGCAAATGAATTCCTTACACAGGGAAAAAAGGATGCTGTTTCAGTATGATTTATATAAACATTAAAATCAATTTTTATTATCAATCAGATAGCTTCTCCACATATGATTATGTATTTTAAAGAATTTTAAGGTAATATTTTAATCTTTTAAGGTAATATTTTAATCTTTGGCATGCTGTTAAGTAAATTCAGTATGTAAAAGTTTGAGGAAAAAAACTATATACATATTCACACAGCATGAACAACAATCAGTTTTAAATAGATATACAAAGACTTAAAAATGAAATTATTGTAAATATTTGCAGAATCATCTGTTGGTAAGGTTGTAGATATTTAAAAACATTTTTTCTAGTATTTTTTATGTATTCCAATTATGGATTTATACTTTAATTTTAAAAGATTAAACTATTTAAATAATATTTTAAGAATAAAATCCATTATATCTGGGCATAGTGGCACATGCCTATAATCCCAGCAGCTGAGAAGGCTGAAGCAGGAGGATCACAACAGGTTCAAAGCCAGCCTCAGCAAAAAGCAACTCACTGAAACTCTGTCTCTAAATAAAAATACAAAAAATACAAAAAAGGACTGGGGATGCGTAGTGGTTGAGTGCCCCTGAGTTCCATCCCTGCTACAGAAAAAAAAATTATTGTAACTATGATTTTCCATATTTTGCTTGCTACTTATGTGAGCATATTGCTGGTTTAAGTCATTTGGAAAATGTAATTATTTATTAAGAACATTTAGGTGGATAACTAAATGAAGTTCATAGCTGGAAGATATCTTGGAGGACATCTGGACCTCTGCTCCCTTATTTAAAAGGAGAAATAGAGGTTAAGAGAAGTCAAGAATGATTTCATGATTTTATGATTTCATTTAGTCTTCATTCTATTAATATACTGTACTCCCAATTTAATGATTTGATGTCATCTTTTAAAAATAGGTATGTAGGGCTGGGGTTGTGGCTCAGTGGTAGAGCTCTTGAGGCACTGGGTTCAATTCTCAGCACCACATATAAATAAGTAAATAAAATAAAGGTCCATCAACATCTAAAATATTTTTAAAATAGGTATGCATGTGTAAGGCCCTGGGTTCAATACCAAAAAAAAATAATAATAAAGAAAAATTATTTTCATCATTTTAGGAATGTACTCCACTAATAAAGTTGTTGCCAAAAAGTTAAATTTCTAACTATATATTAATTCAGGGGACAAATTGTTTATGTTATTTAATCGACATTTACTTCTCTGACATATGAAAAAAATGTTTCATTGAATGGAAAAATGATCCAGTTATCTGTACATTCACTAAAAGAATAAGTGTATTGAGATTTAAACGTTGTTTGAATTATGTTGTCGGGTGCTCTGCAACACTAATATTTAAATATAAAAAGTTACTCTCGTGTTACAATTATGCCACTACAGAGCAGGTCTCCTTTAATGTACCTCAGAGTATTTATACATTTTTTCATCGTTTGCTATTTTGATTTCTGGGAATTGAGAATTTATTACATGAAGATTTTTCATATAAAGGTATTGGTAGGAAATAAATTTTAATTGTAACTATAAAGCCAGTGCCAATGTTGTTTTTTCATAAGAAACTTACTATACTTCAGAACTTTAAAGAGGTGATAGTATTTGCCATTAAATTTAAAAATACTGTCTTCTGAACATTATAAGTTTGAAACGAATTTAAATAAAAATATGTATAACGTGTCTCTAAAAGAAATTTAGTAAGATAAAATGTTTTTAGTTCTGATTAGAGAGGAAATTTTAAAAGCTTTGTTCCTATTTATAGCTTATACGAAATGCAATTATATAGGACTCTTGTAAAAGTATACATACTTAGAGCATTTATAACTAATTTAATTCTCTAAATATATAAAGAACTTCAAAGAGAATTTGAAGCATAATTTACCTGTACTTGGCTTTTGTGAAATACGTCTACTTTAGACTGGGATTGTAGCTTGCTGAAGGAGCATATGCTGGAGGCACTTGGTTTGATCCCTAGCATCACAAAACAAAACACTCACTCTGACATGATCACTAGATTAATCTTTCAGAGTTTTGAGCTAAATTTCTCATGAACTGTTACTAATGAGCCAGAATCTTTTATTAGTTAAACTGCTTTATGGCATGTTAGGTGAGTATAGGTTTGTTTCAAAGTTAATACCAGAAATTAAATTTACTATATTAATGGTTGCGAAGAGAATGGCCTATTTAAAATTTTGCTAAAACTGTGATGCTGGAATCAGAAAAATACTGTTGTCTGTATTTACTTTAGAAATCAATTTATTGATCATCAAATTAAAACTGAAAACCCAATATTGATAGTCATCATTGCCATCATCCTATCACTTTCTGTATTATTAATGAACTATTTAAAAATTTGAAAAACAAATAGCCTTTTTAAACCAGTTTTCAAATGTGCCCATCTCTTCCAAGCAGTTTTCTTTGCTTTTACTGCATTCATTTGCCAACTTTATGATTGATTTTTGGCTTACCTTTTTCCTTAACAACTGCTCTTGAAAGTTATGATGAAATGATTATTTATATTGTTCCCAAATACATATGTGCAGTTATTAAGAATTTTGTACTTTATAATAAAGTTTCTTTAACATATACTGATAGCTATAATAATTGACTGATAATCTTTGAAACTCCAATAAGAATGCTATTGTTTTTTTCTCCCCATTCAAACAGCTACACTCTACCTCACAGAACATCAACCTGGGACCAACTGGAAATCCTCAGTAGGTTTAATTATTTCAAGCAATCTTTTGATGACATTTTAGGAAGATCTTCTTTAAGAGCATGAAGATATATGTAAATTATACCAGTTTAACAGAGGGGGGCTATAATATATGACTGTAATTACAGTGAAAATAGTACTATCATATGCTTGACTCACCTAGTGTTCTAGTTTTTCATTGCTTTCAGTAGAGCCCTTCTAAAGGGCTATTTTTTTTTAACCCATAAGTTGTTAATTAGATTTTGTCATTTTCACTGTTCTGATTGTGTGTGTGTGTGTGTAAAAAATCAGTTGACCATATTTTCCAACAGACCATAGGTCCTGTGGGGTATTCTTTGGAGGGGTGGAAATTGTCACAGACTGAACTGGTATTCATCTGATACTCAGTGTTGTTGGTGCACCCTAGTTGTTAGCCAACTTGTTCCTGAGGTGTCACTAATGTTAAAAGGTTTTAAACTTTGTCTGATTTCTCTCGTATTTCCATATTTATCTGAGCACAGGGGAGACATTTTAAAGAACACATTCTGAGAAATGTTGAACAGGACCAGAGATGGCAAATAGAGACACCATCTTGAGAACACACAATACAAAGGATTCCAGGCTGCTGCCTGAGTCAGTTTGATAAGCACCCAGATTGATTAGTGATGTCTGTAATGGATTAGAGGAAGAATGTAGTATTGTCATCCTAATTTGGATTAACTCCATAGCAATCTTATCCCAGGACACATTGCTTTCTCTACCCTTTTCTACCAGGAGAGTGAGTATATACTGATGGAAGAAGTGAACCAAGGATTAGATCCTGGGATACTTCAACATCATGAGGTCAGGGAAGAAACTGGTAATGGAGAACAAGAAGTCAGGAAGGTAGAAGGAAAACCAGGAATGTGGTGTCCTAATGTCAGAAGAAGAGAATGTCTCAAATAAGAGGGAGTAATTAAACTCCATTAGTATTGCTGATAGGGCCAGTTAGATAAAGACTGAAAATTGACTACTGGATTTAATAAATCATTGGTGATTTTTGTGAGCAGTCTCGATGGTGTTGGGCACAAGACCTTGATAGGGAAAGGGTTTACAAGAGAACTAGAGAAGAGGACAGCAGTATAGACCACTGATGGAGGAGTTTAGAACACATACTAGGGCTAAGGGTTGCTGCAAAGGAAACCAAAGAAAGGGAATAGAAAAGGAAGTTTTAGTTCTGAGCATTCTTTGCTGTCATTCATAGCATTGAACAAAATGTCATAACAAAATGGAAATTTGCTTTCAATTAAGAGTTCCTTACCAACAGTTAACCATGGGACCTTAGCCTCTCTGCTGTGGGGTTTCATTTTGTACTGTTACATTTGTTTGCTTTTGATGGCCCCTGCCATGTCCCATCCCACTCCTACCATACTGGGCATTAAATCCAGGGACCCTGTACCACTGTGCTACATCCCCAGACCTATTTATGTATGTATTTATTTATTTATTTTTGAGATAGGATCTCACTTGCTGAGGCTGCCTTGAACTTGGAATCCTCCTGCCTCAGCCTCCTGAGTCACTGAGATGACAGACGTGTTCCACCAAGCCATCTTTGTTTTTGTTTAAAAAATTATTTTAATATTTTAGCATATCAAGATCAAAACAGTCCAAAGACGGGTTTTTACAGAAGAAAAAAAATCTAAATTTTGTTAAATATTTAACTCACTAAACTTTTCCTGTTACTATTTAACCTTGTCCTGGTGATATTCTCAGCTATGAATTGACTTTTTATTTTTGTGTGTATGTGCTACTGGGGATGATACCCAGGGGTGCTTTACCACTGAGCACTACATCTATAGCCCTTTTTATTTTGAGACAGGGTCTTGCTAAATTGCTTAGGCTGGCTTCAGACTCGTATTTCTCCTGTCTCTGCCTCCCAAGTCACTGAAATTACAGTCATGTACCACTATGCTGGGCTGTCTTTTTTTTTTAATTTTAATCAGTTGATGGAAATTTCAAATCTAAATAGAATTATTCCCTTTCTTTAGTACAACTTAGTAATTCAGACTGTCATGAAAGAAATAGGTCTTCTGGCTATTTAAGCTCAACTTTCTGCTGTTCATTGTGTATGCTTACAGATAGCCAGTGCTCTTATTACCTGATAGTTTAAAATAAACAAAAGGACAATCTTGGTATTCTCTTGGCTTTTCTGTTCCTATCTTTCCTATATAAGCATTCAAGAGAATGAGCTTTTAACTTTAATGTAAAATACGTGATTTTTATGTAAAACTCTTAATATAAAGACTTCACTCTAAAGTTTTCTTTGCATCTTTACTAGGTGTTGCAACTGGTAATTTTTTTTTCAAAAGAATTGTCAAGCAGGGGCTGGGGTTGTGGCTTAGTGGTAGCGTGCTCATATGCAGGGCGCTGAGTTTGATCCTCAGCACCACGTAAAAATAAAATAAAGGTTGGGGCTGGGGATGTGGCTCAAGTGGTAGCGCGCTCGCCTGGCATGCGTGCGGCCCGGGTTCAATCCTCAGCACCACATACAAACAAAGGTTTTGTGTCCGCCGAAAACTAAAAAATAAATAATAAAATTCTCTCTCTCTCTCTCTCTACTACAAAAAAAAAAAAAAAAAAGAATTGCCATGTAGTCCTTGGAGTATATAATATATGGTTATTTAGTTTCCTTATTAACAACATTGGTGTGGCTCATCGTTAATAAAATTGACAGAAGCTACTTTGAACTCACAACTGTGTGTGTGTGTGTGTGTATGTGTGTGTGTATTCTGTTTAGAGATATATCTCCATCCTTTTCTCCCAAAGAGAATATTATTGAAGTCCCTCTTAAATAGAACTTAATGGGACTTATAAAAAGGAAGGTATAAAATATTTTATGTAATCAGAAAGTAGATATTATTACTTACATAAAAAGATGAAATAATACTAGTATAAAAAACAGGAATCGCCATACGTAAGTATCTTGAACCTAAATTTATTTATTAAAGAATGTGGTGCTAGGTGAAAGCACATGAAAGGGAGTACAAAAAGAAACAGAAGGGGCTGGGGTTGTGGCTCAGTGGTAGAGTGCTCACCTAGCATGTGCAAGGCCCTGGGTTCGATCTTCAGCACCACATAAAAATAAAATAAAGATATTGAGTCAGTCTACAACTAAAAAAATATTTAAAAAGAAAATGGAGGCAGGCCTCAGGGACCAGCACCACAGGGGCACATCTGAGGGGGAGGAAAAAGCCAGTGGGCCACCACAGGGGGGCTACCACAAGGGTCTGGGTTTTTAGCAGAGCCAAATCACTGGAGGAGTTAGTTATTTTGGGCAGGCAGGGCCAGGTCATGGGAGCAGTTTTGGTGGCGGCATCTTTTAGGGCTGGGTGGGGCAGGGCAGGTAGGGGAACAGTAAGGGAAGTTCTTCAGGGCTTATTTTCCATATCCTTCACTAGGAAATGTTTAAGTTAACATCTTTCTAATTTGTAGGAGGCTAATTCTTGTCATTGTTGATTTATTTCAGTGCGAAGCCAACTGACTTTGATTTTTTAAAAGTTATTGGAAAAGGCAGCTTTGGCAAGGTAAGAATGTTTTCATTTTCTCATTCAGTGAATAAGTACTTAAGAAATGCATTTTGGGGCTGGGGATATAGCTCAGTTGGTAGAGTGCTTGTCTTGCATGTACCAGGTCCTGGGTTCAATCCTAGCACCCAAAAAAAAAAGAAAAAGAAATGCATTCTTATATGTGTGAGCCATAGGACGTTTTTGTTTGAAGGATATGAAGTTAAGATTCATTCCTACAAATAGGAAAGATGTTAACTTAAACATTTCCTAGTTAAGTGATAACAGAATAATTAAGGAAATAAGCCATCTACTCAATTTCTAAAATAAAGTTTATTTATTGAACAAGTATTTGTTGAGTACCTACTATGTGCCAAGTACTCATGTGGACACTGTTTAGATACTGTTGAAAAACCTGACATGTTTACTACTTTTGTGATGCTTACCAGCTAGTGGGGAAAATAGTCCACTAAAATTTTGTAGTCATAGCTGGGGATAGTGCATGTCCGTAATTCCTGCTATCTGGGAGACCGAAACGGGGGGATCCAAAGTTTTGGCCTGTCTCAGCAATTTAGTGAGACCCTGTATCAAAATAAAAAGTAGAAAGGGCTAAACAGAGCTCAGTGATAGAAGTCCCCTAAGTTCAGTTTCCAGTATCAGAAAAAAAATTTTGCTATCAAGTGAACATAAACAGTAAAGGGGCAATGATAGAAATGAAGACTAGGGTGAAGTGACAGAGGAAAATAGGGCAGCTATAGGGGGGATCTCTACTTAGATGTATCCATCAAGGATGGTGTCTTTGAAGATATGCTATTTAAACTGAAGCTAGAAAGACAAAAATAAGCATTTGTAAATAGGAGTTAGAGAAGGGAAGGAATGTGCAAAAACCCTGCTTATTCTTATACAGTATCACCTGAATTGTTGAACTGTACTATGGAAGGAGAACCACTTAAGGTTACCAGGAAAAGTGTCATAGATAATTTAACAAAATCATCTAATATATTTAAGGGCTTTTTGCATTATTTTTCAATCTGTAGTAAAAATGAATATGTATGTGTTTATTTATATTTTGGTGTCTGTGGTCGTTTATTTTTTTAATTCCCTTGAGACCAGAAACTGACCAATTAAACCCATGTGTATTTATTCATTCACCAAATATATGTTGACCAATTTCTATATGTTGGGCATTATGCTGCTATTAAGCAACAGAAAGCTAGAAGGATTACTCTAAAAATGCTTGTAATCTGTTGGGATGCTAGTCTGTCATTAAAAACAAAAGCATTAGCCAGGATCTGTGATGAATGCCTGTAATCCCAAATACTTGGGAGGCCAAGTCACGAGGATCGGTAGTTCAAGGCCAGCCTGTGTAATATTGTGAGACCCCCTTCCCATCTCAAAAACAACAACAACAAAAAAGGCATTGTGTTTTGGAAATATCATTCTTAGATCTAGAGTCAAACAGAATTCATTCTTGCATATAATGTGAGGTATAGAGTCACAGCTCATTTCTTTCCATGTGGATATTTAGCTGATTCTTGCAGAATGTATAAAAAGATCATTCTTTCCCCAGTGATCTGCAGGGTCACCTTCATCGTGTATTCAGTGTTCACATATGTACAGATCCATATTTAGATTTTATAGTTTGTATTTCTGTTTCTAGATTTTATATTTTGTTCCCTTGATCCTGATACAAGTGTCACATTGTCTAGACAACTGTTGCTTAATATCCAACAGAATAAGTTCTTTAATCCTTGTTCTTCTTCAAGAGGCCATTCTTAGCCTTTCTACATATCTGTATAAATTCTAGAGTCCTGTCAATTTCTGCAAAAATTCAGTTGGAATTTTATTTGGATCAGATTGAATCTATAGATAAATTTGGGGAGAATTGGCATCTATAACATTGAGTCTTTCAATCCATGATCATGTTGTAATCTTGTTATTTTAGTTTATTTTTAAGTTTTCTTCAATAATATTTTAGTGTTCTCTGTAGAATTTTTTACACATATCTTTAACTAGATTTATTCCTAGGTGTTTCTTTTTGATACTGTTGAAACATGGTTTAAATTATTGAAGCTGAATATAGGCATTACCTGTGAAACATTTGTTCTTTGCTTAGCTCTCTAAAAGAAATGCATGTACACTAGGAAAAGCATGTACAAACATGCTTGTAGAATCATTATGCATGACCAATCTAAATAACTATAGATGAAACAGTGAATACATATTGTAATGGAATATTCTGCATAGCCATGAAAACTATGTTACCTGCCACAACATGAATGAATATTATATAATTTAGAGTCAAAGAAATAAAAAACAGACAATCTTATATGTTTAATTTCAGTTACATAAAATTTTTAAAAGGACAAAACTTAGCAATTATCGCAAGTTGAGATAGTGGTACTTACCTTGAGGAGGAGGTGCACGAGTTATGACTGGAGTGGGGCAAGAAGGCTTCATGTTACTTATGTGTTTTATTTGACCTGGATAGTGGTTACACATAGATGTATTCACTGTAAAAAATTTATTGAGCTGTGCTGACCTTGTGGGTTGTTCTATACATATGCATATTTAATAAAAATTTTAAATCTTACAAAATGGCAGTGAGGTGCAATAAACCAAAGAATAAAAATACACAAATAGAAGGAAAAGCAAACATGAAAACTTACATTCTACTGGAAAAATACGTAATAAACTGAAAATAAAGGTAGTCCAGTTTGTCTATTTGGCTTCTTAACCAGTGTGTTGTCCAAATCTGTCAACCTACTGAAAATTTGGCCTAGGTATTCTAATTGCCACATTCCTTGAAGTATTTTCTGAGAATGAATTGAACATGAACCAATTGAAATACTGGAGAAGGAAAGGCCAAGCAGGTGGTAGTTGTCAAGAAGAGGAAAAAAAGTTTTAAGAAGTAACATTCAACAGAGTCAAATGCTATCAAGAACTAAAAACTGAGAAATGCGAAAAATGCAGTTGAGCAGTGGACATTTTCATACTGAAGATATTTTGACTCCATCTTTATGAACAAAACCTTTTTTTTTTTTTTTTTTTAGTTGTAATCGGACACATACCTTTATTTATTTATTTATCTATTTATTTATTTTTATATGGTGCTGAGGATCAAACCCAGTGCCTCACACATGCTAGGCGAACACACTATCACTGAGCCACAACCCTGCCCCTGAACAAAACATTTTTAATAATAGACCTTATTGTATTTTATTAAGAGACCAAAGAACAGTTTTAGACATAGAGAAAAATTGAGCAGAAAATAGAGAATTCCCAGTGCTTCCCAATGCAGTTTGCCCTCTTATTAACATTGTATATTTGTATGGTACATTTGTCACAATTAATAAACTAATATTGACATTATTAATAGAAGTTTGTAATTTGTTCACATTTCCTTAGTTTTTGCCATGTGTCCTTTTTCTGTTTCAAGATCCTATCCAAGGGGCTGGGGTTGAGGCTCAGTGATAGAGCGCTTGCCTGGCATGTGTGAGGCACTGGGTTCAATTCTCAGCACTACCTATAAATAAAATAAAAGTCTATTGACCACTTTAAAAAAAAAAAAAAGATCCCATCCAAGATAACACATTACATTTACTTCTTATGTCTCTTGGCTGTGACAACTTCTCCGACTTGCCTTTTTTTTAAATTTTTTTAGTTTTATTTGGACATAATACCTTTTATTTATTTTTACATGGTGCTGAGGATCAAACCCAGTGCCTCTCACATGCTAGGTGAGCACTCTATCGCTGAGCCAAAACCCAGCCCTTGCCTTGTTTTCTGATGACATCAATAGTTTTGAGGATTACTGGACAAATATATTGTAGTATGCTCTACATTAAATTGTAGAATGTCCTATATATTGTGCTTGATGTTTTTCACATGTTTATACTGGAGTTACAGATTTGGGCAAAGAAGACCACAGAGGTATTAGAAATAAACTCCAGCAGTGTTGCTATTTTAGATCAGCTCAAAAAAAAAAAAAAAAAAACTTTGGGATATGTCTATTAATAGTTACACACCTTCAGCAGTAGAGCACTTACCAAACATGTGCAAGGCCCTGGGTTCCAGCACACATGCACACATTCTTCCTCAACTTTCAGGTGGTCTCAAATCCCTTCTAGATGAGTCATACATTACCTAAGAGTGGGAACATGTTCTGATATGACTTCATCATTAAGAAAATGTCCTAGAAGGTACTCACATAAGCCACCTATATTCCTAAGTTATATAGTCTATACCATCATATTCGTGGTCCTTCATTGACCAAAATGTTAAGCAGTACACGACTATATTTGCAAAACTTTGAGAATGTCTTCCTTTTTCTGAGGTGAGATCTTCTAGGTTCCTTCAGACTTTTTATAGTATCTGCATGCAACCCAACCCATTGCAGAAATCAGTGATACATGGTGCTTCTTTCTCTGAACTCTTTGGAATTTAAAACCTACAAAATGAATGTAAATATAGAACAATACGTTTGATAACCTAAAAATCATTTCCTGATTTTTTTTTATATAGCCACGAGGTTTATATTATAGCCTCAATATTTTCTCCAGGCATTCTTCAAGACTCCGGGCTGACACACAGAGTTCTCATGCAGTGTAGATTTTGGCTCTTAAATTAATAAGATCTCATTATAGAAATGAATTCAGTAATGCTCAATTTTCAGATCAAAAACATTATCTAGATCCCTTGTGTACCTACTCTTTAGAAAATTTGAGACTTACTGGTTTATTGACAAGACAAGGGAATAATTCCTAGAAAAAGATTGAAATTTCTAATAGTTTGTACAATCTTTATAACAGGTTCTTCTTGCAAAACGGAAACTGGATGGAAAATTTTATGCTGTCAAAGTATTACAGAAAAAAATAGTTCTCAACAGAAAAGAGGTAAAATAAAATAGCTTTCATTTCTCCTGAGCCCATTTTCTTAATTAATAGAATCGTTTTCCTGGTGTCTAATACAAGTCGAACCTTTGCCTTTTTTTCCAGCAAAAACATATTATGGCCGAACGTAATGTACTCTTGAAAAATGTGAAACATCCATTTTTGGTTGGATTACATTATTCTTTCCAAACAACTGAAAAACTTTATTTTGTTCTGGATTTTATTAATGGAGGGGAGGTGAGTTTTGTAATTAGTTTTCTAATATTGATAATGGTTAGAAGAAAAAGCATAATTTTTTTGTAAGTTTTAAAATAGCAGCACATTATCGATAGCTGTTTGTTGAATAAAAACAATATTTGAGGGACAGAGTACAGTACAAGATGTGGAAAAGTGTTAACTTGGGGGCCTTAAGCATATGGCGTAGTGGGGAAGATTCATAAAAGAAACTTATATAAATCTACAAGCCATGGATAGATTCATCACTAAGCTGTGTAGCAGGAGTGATATATTGACATTAGAATAAAACATGGTATGTAATTAAGATAATGATCGTTTCAACAGTTTCATATAAATATCACTCCAGCCTGTCATTTCTAAAATGTATAAACTATTAATCAGTGATCCTTTAATAAAAAGCCCCGTGATGAAGACAGTTGGAAAATGCTTCATGTTGTATCATCTATTTGGTCATTCATAGTGTATCAGCTTGTTAAACTTTGAGAACATCTGCCTTAAACAAAGGAGTTTTCTTTCTTTTTTATTTTTTTTTTCTTTTATACTGGGGATTGAGCCCAGGGATACTCTACCACTTAGCTCAGCCCTTGTTTTTTTTATTTTTTTGTGATAGGGTCTCACTAAGTTGCTGAGGCTGGCTTTGAACTTGTTATCCTCCTGTCTGGGCCTCCTGAATAGCCAATATTACAAGCATGCACCACCGTGCCTAGTTTAAGTAAAGTATTTATTAAATGAAGAAAAATAATGTTTTTAAAAATATCAAAATTTCCTTTTTTGTTTGAACTAAATCTATTAATTATATTCCCCAAAACTCTGATTCAGAAGGATATTGAAACACATTTGGAAAATACTGCTAGAATAATTACAGTAATAGCTAACATGTGTCAAGTATTACTTAGGTTTCAGCACTCTGGCTCTTTGTATTATTTTATCTTAAGAACAATTTTATTATATAAGACAAACCCAGGCACAGAGAAGCCGGGTAGCTTGTTGGAATATGTGATAAATAAGAATTGGAGGCAGGAATTGAACTCAGGTGTCAGGTATTCTTCTAGGTTCTAAGTAGCTGACTACTCCTGTTCCTCTACTTCTTACCCTCATGGCTAGTTTGTTTGATCTTTGACCTGTGAATGACTCTAAAATTATTTTAACTAACAGATACTGTCATATTTTTACAAAGGAATATTTTTCCTCTGATACCAGAGGAGAGAAAGGAAAAAGGAGATTTCAGTATTAATGTGGTACATTTAACTGTAGATTAAAGAACTAGGAGGAAGATGAGTTTCTGTTCTGCAAATCTGAATAAGGATCAGACATAACCTTGGAGCAAGGTTGTAAAATGAATCTACTCAACTCTCTGCATCTATGACAAAAGTCCCTTAAGATCCAAAATAGAGACAAGATTTTAAGTCCTCCTCCAGAGATACAAATTAGCCCACATTGTTCCTACCTTGAAGGTTGTCACTTTATTTTGTGTGTGCTAAATACTAACAGATAATGAGACTTTACTGAGGACTTGGCACTTTGCAATTTACTTAAGTTTCAGGCTCTAGATTTAATCTAGACATCCTGACTGCAGAGTCTACTTTTTTTTTTTTTTTTTTTTTCGGAGTTGGGGGTTGGGCTCAGGGGGACTTTACCACTGAGCTACACCACCAGCCCTTTTTATTTTATTTTAAGACAAGGTCTCACTAAATTGCCCAGGTTTGCCTCGAACTGGCAATCCTCTTGCCTCACCTTCCCCAGGAGCTGGGATTTACAGGAGTGCACCACAGCGGCCAGCAGCAAAGCCTTCTCTTACGTCCACCCACAGAAATATTTGTGTGAGACATGTAACTAAGGAGGAGATCCTACTGCATGTTTCCTGCTTTATCTGTGGTTTATTCATGCTGTTTTAGGACTTTACTTCTGAGCCCTTTTTACACAGTGACTGCTCATAAACTGAGTGACAGAGGTGGTGAGAGATAGGCTTGTCTTCTAAAAGATGCACTTTGCTAAGAGAATGAAATAGAATGCAGTGGAGGGTGTAGGAGTTGAGTGGGGTAGGAGGCAGACGAGGAATAAAGATGAAGAGAAAGTACAGAGGCATCAGGTGCATGGTTTCTGAAAGGAAAGTGAGAAAGCAAGAGATGGGCGAACGAGAAATGAAGGACAGAGATCAGGCAGAGATCCACACAAAGATTTATTTGTCAAAGTTGACAAATAAAGGCCAACCCTTTATAGAGAGGAGAGGCCCCGAGATGTTCAGGTATTGAGCTTTTGTTGGGTAGGGGTTTGGAGGTGTAGCTGTGGCGCTGTGGGATAGGCTGGGGGTACTTGCATCAGAGGTAGATGGGTGAGAATAGCATGGGATTGGCTTAGGTTGATGGCACCATGGGGCTTTCCAGGGACAAGGGGTGATGTCCTTCTGGGATTGGCTTATGGTTGTGGTACCATGGGATAGGTCACTAATGGGGGTAAACTTGTCTCATGAGATGGCAGTTAACATTTAAGATGGCTGCTCAAATGTTAAATCAAGACCCTATAGTTTCATCCTGTGTTCCCTACTGTTATTACTGTTATTTCCTCCTCATTTTCATACTTACACTTTAATCTTGACATGTAATATTATTTTTTGTGTACTTTCATCTCTTCAGAGCAAACTTAAATATCCAATAAGTCATATGATATTGGGTATATAAACAAGCCTTTCGGAGCTTAGCTTCCTCATTAATTTCGCAACTCAGAATTGTTGGATGGATTAAATTATGCAAGCACGGCAATTTTTTATTTACAAAGCAATCCATATGAGCTATTATTAGTGACATGGTTAGACTTTCATTTTAGTAATTCTATTAGCAATAGAATATTGAGCAAATGAGATTAGGAGATCAACAAATACAATATTCCAGTAATGTAGGCCACAGCTAGTAAGAACAGTGGTAGGGGTAAAAAAAAGAAAGTAGTCCAGAAATAATTAGATGATAAACAGAAGCTGGATACAAGGGCTAATGATAAAGGAACGGTGTAGGTAAATCCCAGGCCAGCCCCCATTTATCTTGGTCAGGATATATTATAACTGATCTTTACCACAACCTTTCAGAAGAAATTAAGATCTTTTCAAAATAATCTTTTATAATCAAAGAGGTTGAATGATTGAACACAAAAGAGAAGAGCCAGAATTTGAACCAAAATCTAATCAGCTTCAAATGCTCTTTCCACAATATCTTGTTACCTCCTGTGGCTAAGAAGGCTGAGGAGAACACAGTAGTAGCAGTAAGTCTGAGAGAAGACAAGAGTCTTTGTTTTAGACATTAAACTTATTTGCTTGTAAAATATTCAAGAAATAGTAGGAGATCTTTTCAGGAGCAGCTTCAAGCAGAGACTTGGACTAGGAGTGTCTGTGTGTGAGACATCAACATAGAGGTGATGGGTAGAATCACTGGAATAGATAAGGTTTCCTGGGAAGGTTATTTGGAGAAAAATTAATAGTGGACCAAGGGTAGAAACTGTCTTCCCTTCAATGTTTGGAGCCAAAAGGAATACAGATGGAATTTTCCAAGATAGGAGAAGACCCAAGAAGAGATTATCATCTTGGAATCCTGGGGTCCGTTATCTTCCTGGGGGCAGATAATGTAATGGGCAAAGGACAGGTTGTGAGAAATAAAGTGAAATTGGGAAGTTTAAAAAAGAAATTAAAAAAAAAAAAGAAAGAAAGAAATGAACTGGAGCTGGGTGCAAGGCGCATGCCCCATGATCCCAATGGCCATGAGGATCATGAGTTCCTTTTTTTTTTTTTTTGGATTGAACTCAGGGGCACTCAACCTCTGAGCCACATCCCCTGTCCTATTTTTTATTTTCTTTAGAGATAGAGTCTCAATGAGTTGCTTAGTGCCTCACAGTTGCTGAGGCTGGCTTTGAATTTTTGATCCTCCTGCCTCAGCCTCCCTCAGCTGCTGGGATTACAGTCATGTGACACACTGTGCCTAGCAGGATCTCAAGTTCACAGCCAGCCTCAGCAATGTCAAGGTACTAAGCAACTCAATAACTCAGTGAGACCCTTTCTCTAAAAATACAAAATAGGGCTGGGGATGTGGCTCAGTAGTTGAGTGCCACTGAGTTCAAACCCCAGTACCCCAAAAAAGAAAAAAAAATGAACTGGAGAGTCCAGTTGCTATTCAGCTCCAGCCAGTTGCTATCACGTTGAATTTAGGACTAATGGGGCAGAACTTCCCATTTTTATTCCTCCACAAGAAACTAAAACACAATTTTTAATCCACCCCCCACTACCAAATCCAAGTATTTAAATGTTCTCAACTAATTCAGATTTTTCTGAAACTAGAATCTGTCTCAAGCAAATTATATCTGTGAGTTATATTTGTTTTGCTAGCCACTACTATTTTTTTGTTTGTTGTTTAATGAAAAAGCAGTCCAGAAAGGCCCAGTAAGTTAATTCCATGGCAGTATCAAACTGTTGGTCTTCATTGATAACCTTTCCTAGAATAGTGATCTGAAATGGTGAGGACACCACATTATTGAGCATAGAGGTGTACAGGGGAGGCATGTGAAGTTAGCAAGGATAAACAAAAATGCAGGGTTGAAGAGAGAATGGTATGATTGTTGGACGAGAGACATGGACAAGGAAGGGTCACAGCTCTGTGCTTTAGTGCATTTTTAGATGATGTTCAAAGTGTCAAAAAACAATTTTTGCTTTTTAATTTACTGAATATATTTGTCCAATGCTATGTGAAGGATCCTAATCACCCTCCCCTTCCCCATTTTGCAGCTGTTTTTTCACTTACAAAGAGAACGGTCCTTTCCTGAACACAGAGCAAGGTTTTATGCTGCTGAAATTGCCAGTGCATTGGGTTACTTGCACTCCATCAAAATAGTATACAGGTAAACTGTTTAAATAATATATGTAAAAATATTGTTTTGATATTTTATTTCAGGTAATACTCTGTTTTTTTCCTTTCCTTTTAAAGAGACTTAAAGCCAGAAAATATTCTTTTGGATTCAGTGGTAAGTATTGTCTTGTAAAAATCTACTAGTTCTTAATTATTTGTTATTTATGGTGGGGGAAAAAGTCTTAGAAGGTGTCATACTAATGATTGTATTTATATAAAATTCTCAAGAAGATAAAATCATGGAGACAGAGAACAGATCACAATGGTTACAAGGGGGGTGGTGGATGGGCAAGGGGCGAGAACACAGAAATATAGGGGCATTCCTCTGTGATGGAATAGCTCTCTATCTTGATTGTGGTGGGTGTTACATCAATCTCTACATATATATTGCATAGAACCACACACACACACACACACACACACACATACATACACATACACATATACACACAAGCGTGAATGTTCAAAATAGTGAAACTGAGTAAGTCTTAACAGTGTTGTTCCAATGTCAGTTTCTGTTTGATACTGCACTGCAATGATACGTCAGCATTGGGGGAAGTTGGGTAAGGGTATACAGGACTCTGTGTTCTATTTTTGTAATTTTTTTTATTTTAAAAATAAGATGGGTTTTTTAAAAATTGTCTATTTGTGTTCCTGCATTGTTTTATCTTACTACCTCTATTTTTGTCAGGGACATGTTGTCTTAACAGATTTTGGGCTTTGTAAAGAAGGAATTGCTATTTCTGATACTACCACCACATTTTGTGGGACTCCGGAGGTAAGAAACATGTCTTGTTGTTGATATAATCACTGATAAGATGCAAATGTGAATCACATTTACATATACAAAATTGAAATAGGAAAAGTAGAATAAAAACTGTCATTTCACCTTTTAGCCAACTAGAAATGTAATCATCCCTTCTGGATGTTTTGAGTTTATTGATAGTTGGTATTTTTCACTGACATTGTAAAATACCACAACACCCTTTTTGGATAATCCAACAAAGTTATGCTTATTTTCTCTAAGTGTTGAAAGTTTACCTTAGACTTCTTTAGCATTTGATTATATTTCTAATCCTTTAAGAAAATCACAAATCAGTTAAACTATCCTAAAATTGATTATGGTCATGGTTTTACCATGCTGTGAATATCTTAACAGTCATTGAATTGTACACCTAAACAGATACATTATATGGTATGTGACTATCTTCCTAAAGCTTTTTTTAATGAGTTAACACTAATAAAGAGGATAAAATATTAAGACTGCCTATATCTGTGTGGCAGTTTTATTGATTTCTATATTTTTCTATATGGTTGGAATATTTTGTGAATAAAATAATTTCTTTTTAAAATTTTTTAGCTTTATTTTATTCATTTATTTTTATGTGGTTCTGAGGATTGACCCCAGGGCCTCACACATGCTAGGCACGTGTCTGAGCCACAATCCTAGCCCAATTAATTTCTTTAATAGAATAAAATAAAGCCATAGATGTAAAAAAAAAAAAATTAAAATCCTAATTCATAACCCAAGACATCCCATTCTCTAATCACATTAGGAGAAAAAAGTCTTTTCATTTGTGACATTAATAAACCTTACAACTTATATTTAAAAGCCTTACTCTCACCTCACACACATTTATTTTAAACTATCCTAATTTTATTATATAGTGATCTTAAGTACCATGTGATATTTCAACCTTGTTGTGGAGTAATTGCAAATACAGTGCTGAAATTGGAACCTGGATTAGAGCCCTAGCACCTCACACACACAAAAAAGAAAACATGATAAATTGGCTTACATGACCTTCTGATCAAGATCCAAAACACAGGTTGTGTGCTATGGCATACTCCTATAATCCCAGCAGTTTGGGAGCCAGGCAGGAGGATTGTGAGTTCACAGCCAGCTTTGGCAATTTAGCAAGGCCCTAAACAACTCAGCAAGACCCTGCCTCTAAATAAAATATAAAAATGGGCTGAAGATGTGGCTCCATGATTAAGCACCCCTGGATTTAGTCTCTGGTACAAAAAAAATAATCCAAGATAATTTAAAGTATAAGTAATAAGGTTGGGGTGTTGTAGCTCAGTGGTAGAATACTTGTCTAGCAGGAGTGAGGCACTGGATTCAATCCTCAGCACCACATAAAATGAATGAATGAATAAAATAAAGGTTAAATTATTTACATTAAAATGTATTTTTCTCTAACTCACCCTAGCTCTTATATATATTTGTAACCATTCTATTTTATTTATAATGTAAAGAAACACTTTTTGTGAAGGTACAATGAATTCATAATTAATGAAATGTAAAGTTCTATAGTTTTTAGAAAGGAAAAAACTTGTCATTTAAATCTGAATGTGATCAGAAATTGTTAAACTTTTTAAATTTATATTACCATTTCTTTGGTTCACATAAAAAAGTGTAAGATGAAATTATTTCCTTACATATATTTCATGTGGGAAAAGGTTATATATTTTGGAGTATAAAATTCAAATTTACCATCTTATAAGTGTGAAATTCTGATGAATTTAAGTTTTTTACAAATTAAAATGTAAATTGCCACCTAATAGCTTACACACGTTTGCTAAATATGTTTGAGAATTGAAAAGTGTTCCAGGGCTGGGGATGTGGCTCAAGCAGTAGTGCGCTCGCCTGGCATGTGTGTGGCCCAGGTTCGATCCTCAGCACCACATACAAACAAAGATGTTGTGTCCGCCGAGAACTAAAAAAAAAATAAATAAATATTTAAAAAAAAAAAAAACAATTGGAACTTCTTTTTAAAAAAAGAAGAAGAAAAGTGTTCCAGTTGGCATTGACGAAGAATCACTGTTACAGAATGAGAGCACCCAGCCTACTGATAATCAAAATGATATGTTTTCATTGTGGTAATAAAACACCTAAACATTGTTAAATGTATTAATTATTCCTAAATTTCATCCTGAGTTTTGTTGAGTTGCTCTTATGTTTAATTCTTTTCTACAGTATCTTGCACCTGAAGTAATCAGAAAACAGCCCTATGACAACACTGTGGATTGGTGGTGCCTTGGTGCTGTTCTGTATGAAATGCTGTATGGATTGGTATGTATTTCTGTTCTTTGATTGTTATTCCAATATACTATTATTGATTTGGCGCTTTCTTTCTCTCTCTTAATAACCTCACAGACAATTAGATAAAACTAATAGAGCAGTTATAACCTGGTTAAAAGAATTTAAGCCCATATTAGGAATATGCACAAAAATAAATTTTTTTCATTTTTTACTAGTGTTTTAAATTAATAAAATTATCTCTGGCATACTGATCACTGCTTTAGATATTTTCATTCCACTGGCACTTTCAGAAATAGACATCTAGTTATAACATTAAAATTACCTGCTTTTACTCCATGTACCCCAAACATCATCTTCCTAATTTTGAGATGGAAAAGAAAAAGATTTTTGCATTTATCAGTACATTGTATTTCAAAAGAAAATGTCTTTTGAGTTTTATCTTTTAAGTCATCCTCTGTTACCTTCTCTAAAAACGCCATGTCTTGAAGATTTCATGGGAAAAAGTAATGTTTACTATGTAATAGATTTATTCAGTTTTTAATAAGTATAGAATACATTAGGTAGGCCAGTCAGAGCTTCTGATAAAAAAATGAGTAGTTTTATTTCTGCATTGAGATAACATTGCTACAACCCAAAGCAAAAAAATTTAGGCATTTTAGTAAGTTTACATGTCTTTGTAAGAATGAATGAGGGCTGGGGCTGTAGCTTAGTGGCAGAGTACTTGCCTAGCACACATGAAGCACTGGGTTTCATCCTGCGTACCACAGAAAAATAAAGACATGCTGTCCATCTACAATTACAAAAAAAAATTTATAAAAATTTTAAAAAGGATAAATTATATTTTTCTGTAGGCTTTTTTTTAGTTGTAGATGGACACAATATCTTTATGTATTCAATTTATTTCTACCTGGTGCTGAGGATCAAACCCAGTGCCTCACACGTTTGAGGCATGTGCTCTACCATTGAGCTGTAACCCCAGCCCCTGTAGGCTTTTTGAAATACTTTTTTTCCTGAGGAATGAAGAGGTTTTATCACTTTTACAGTGAACCCACATTCTCAATAATAAAATTCATAGATTTTAATGTTAAAAACTAAAAAGCGTCGTCTCAGCAAAAGAAACAATCAGTGAAGTGAATAGAGAGCCTACAGCTTGGGAACAAATTTTTACCTCCTACACATTAGACAGAGCACCAATCTCTATGGTACATAAAGAAGTCAAAAAGCTAAACACCAAAATAATAAGTAACCCAATCAATAAATGAGCCAAGGAACTGAACAGACACTTCTCAGAAGGTGATGCAATCAATCAACAAATATATGAAAAAATGTTCAACATCTCTAGCTATTAGAGAAATGCAAATCAAAACTTCTCTAAGATTTCATCTCACTCCAATCAGAATGGCAGCTATTAAGAATACAAACAACAGTAAGTGTTGGCTGAGGATGTGGGGAAAAAGGCATACTCAGACATTCCTGGTGGGACTACAAATTAGTGCATCCAATCTGGAAAGCAGTATGGAGATTCCTTGGAAAACTTGGAGTGGAACCACCATGTGACCCAGCTATCCCACTCCTCAGTTTATATCCAAAGGATAAAAAACAGCATACTACAGGGACACAGCCACATCATTACAGGGACACAGCCACAAACCTTATTTGTTTGTTTTTCTGTACTGAGAATAGATAAACTGTAGAACCAATCTAGATGCCCTTCAGTAGATGAATGGATAAAGAAAATGTGGTATTTATACACAATGGCTTTTTGAAATATTTGAAGTAGTGTTTAGATTCCCTTTGCGGTCCCTTAGTCTCCTGCTGGGAACTATATATCTAATCCTTTGTGCTAAATGCTACCATCAGCTGAGATGTACCTAAGGTTTATTGTGTGTGTGTTTACTTTTCCTCCAAACTGTGAAGTTTGATTGGCACAATCAGGTTCATTTTAGAGTATTTGTTTAATATCACTAATTTTGAATGCTGGAGTCCTAGAAAAGCCAGTGCCTTTGGCTAAGAACACGTTAAAAGAGCTACTTTTCGCCTGGTGCAGTGGTGCATGCCTGTAATCCCAGTAGCTCTGAAGGCTGAGACAGTAGGATCATGAGTTCAAAACCAGCCTCAGCAAAAAGTGAGGCACTAAGCAACTCAGTGAGACCTTGTCTCTAAATAAAATATAAAATGGGGCTGGGACTATGGCTCAGTGGTCGAGTGCCCCTAAGTTCAATCCCTGATACCAAAAAAAAAAAAAAAAAAGCTACTTTTATAGTAATGCTAGCAACTTAGAACCTTATTTGTTTGTTTTTCTGTACTAAGAGTAGAACCCAGGGCCTCACATATGCTAGGCAAGCACTGTATCACTGAGCTATATCCCCCAGCCCAACCTTTGGAAAACTACCTCTTTCTTACTTTCACTATTTGCTGTCTTGATATATCAGAACTTTTTATTTCTTTAGGGGACTTTGAAAATATAAAATGAAGTTTTATACATACATACATATACATGTTTTGAGACAGGACCTCCCTAAGTTGCTGAAACTGGCCTTGAACTTGTGATCCTCCTGCCTCAACCTCCTAAGTAGCTTTGAGTTACAGACATGTGCCGCCATACCTGACTTGAAGTTATATTTTAAAAAGCCAAAAATTTTTTTAAAGTCTTTTATTTCCCATAAAACAGAAATAAAAATGACAGGCCTATAAAACTTCCTTAACTTTAAAAATTGTTTTTACTTTAATACTTTGAACTAGGTAATTAACTGGCCAATGCTCATGTTGAAGCTGCAATTATAGCTATATAGCCTATAGACTATGATACTAGCCTTTTTATATTTCTGCAAAATATACTCATAATACTGCCACTGTCACAAGTACTTAGAAGCTTATCTTCAGGTCTCACTCTCCTAGAATGAATTTTATTCCCAAGTCTCAAGAAATTATTTAATGTTTATATTTCCAATGATTCTGTCATACCTGTGATGAGGTTGGTGGTTTTCTCTAAAACCTACCATTATGAGTTTTGTGCAATTTAATAGCTGTCTATAGAGTACTATTGAAAAAGCTTTATTTACTCAGTGAACATGAAGCTGCACCGCATGCTAGGTTTAAGAATCCATTTGCATCAGGGGGCCACACTGCAGATGTCTGCACATCCCAAGAGGGTTCTGCATTTCTGCCATTGTCCAAACACAACTGCTATCTACAGATCAAAGCCAAATCCAGCTACTTAAAAAAACATTTTGGTATGATTTATTTACCTGTAAGTTTATTCTGCTTGTTTTTCAGCCTCCTTTTTACTGCCGAGATGTTGCTGAAATGTATGATAATATTCTTCACAAGCCTCTAAGTTTGAGGCCAGGAGTGAGCCTCACAGCCTGGTCCATTCTGGAAGAACTCCTAGAAAAAGACAGACAAAATCGACTTGGGGCCAAAGAAGACTTTGTATGTAATATGTTTCCCAGTATCAGCTCTACTATATCTTATTTAAAATTTGGAGATAAATCCTTATTTTATATGACATTTGATGGTATAAATACAGCTATTAAAGAATAGCACAACTGGTGAAGGATTTAACTCAATGGTAGAGTACTATCCTAGAATTCATGAGGCCCTAGGTTTAATCCCCAGCACCAAAAATAACAACAAAAAAAAACCCAGCACAACTGAAACAAAAAGCATACTCGTCCCCACAATTTTCACTAGTATTCATAACAGGACTATATAGTGCTTAAAGCACTTTGACTTATATTTTTTCACTTAATCTTTATAATAATTTAATCTATTCTTTATACTTCATATCTAGCTTTCATGTCCTGTTACTTACTTGATTTTTATGTACAGTTTCCTCTCCCTTAACTTTCCTTCTTTTTTTAAAAATTTTTTATTCATAGATGGACACAATAATTTTATTTTGTTTATTTATTTTTATGTGGTGCTGAGGATGGAACCCAGTGCCTCACATGTGTGAGGCAAGCACTCTGCCACTGAGCCACAACCTCAGCCCCTCCCTTTCCTTCTTTTTAAAAAAATGTTACAGCTGGGCACAGTGGTGCACACCTGGAATCTGACAGGCTAAGGCGCAAAGATCGCAAGTTTGAAGCCAGCTTCAGCAACTTAGGGAGAACCTGTCTCAAAATGAAAAGGGCTGGGAATGTAGCTCAGTGGTAGAGCACCACTGAGTTTAATCCCCAGTACCTTGACCAGTGTGGTGGGTAAATGTGGGTTGGGCATGTAGCTGAGTAGAAGAGTGTGCACATCTGCAAGTTTCTGGGTTTGGTCCCTAGTACCACAAAAAGAAAAATAAATGTGTTTCTTCAGGCTTTTTGAAATATTCTGAATAGTTCCCCCAACTTATCTCTTATAGCAGATGATCTTGTTTTGTGTTTTATAGGGGAAAAGAGCCATCAGAGTGGAACTAATTCAGCTTCCTGCTGTCAAACTTGCAGACCTTACATGCACCTTTACCTGCCATTCCTTCTCCCTGTTATGGTGGAAAAGGTCCATTTCCATCTGTATACTGGATTGTGTCCCCTAGCTAGGAACCCTGTGCATGTCTTTTTCTGTACAAGAAGCTCCTCCCTTGTTTTAGTCAGCTTTTTCATTGCTATGACCAAAGGACCTGACAAGAACAATTTTAAAGGAGAAAAAATTTATTTGAGGGGGCTCATGGTTTCAGAGGTCTCAGTCCATCAACAGCTAGCTCTGTTCCTTGGGGCTCAAGGTGAGAAAAAACATGGCAGAACAGTATGGCAGAGGGAAGCTGCTCACATTATAATCAGGAAGCAGAGAGCAAGATGAAGCTCAACTCACCAGTATATCCCAAAGGCATACCCCCAGTGATCTACCTCCTCTAGCCACACCCTCTCTGCCTGCAGTTATCTCTCAGTTATCCCTGTCACATGATTAATTTGCTAATTTGGTTAAGGCTCTCATAACCCAAATCATTTCACCTCTGAATATTCTTGCATTGTCATACATGAGCTTTTGGGAGACATCTCATATCCAAACCATAACATCCCTCTTGTTCTGTTTCTTTCCTATTGATAATGAAATATTATCAAATCTGCTTTTTTTTTTGGTACCAGGGATTGAACTCAGGAGCACTCAACCACTGAGCCACATCCCCAACCCTATTTTATATTTTATTTAGAGACAGGGCCTCACTGAGTTACTTAACTCCTTCCTTTTGCTGAGGCCAGTTTTGAACTCGTGATCCTCCTGCCTCAGCTTCCCGAGCTGCTGGGATTACTGGCGTGTGCCACTACGCCCAACTGAGTCTGCTTTTTAGAAGGAAAAAACCTTCAACCCTACTGTTGTATGAGGTACTACTATTCATCTTCTTCCCTTCATTGCCAGACTTGTTGAAAGTTTTCTATATTTAGGCTCCCATTTCCTGTCTTTTCATATTTCTTAGCCTACCAGAAAATAGCTACCAGAATAGGATATGTCTATTCCTTAGCTTGCTTAACATTCCCCAGTTCCCTGGGCTCCTTCTAGAACACACTCATCTCATTCTGGGCCCTCTGCCATACTCTTCTGTGTGATTCCCTCTTCTTCAGCCTACTAGTTGTGGCATTGCCTTGTGGTTATCCTAAACCCTCTTTTTCTTCTGTGCTCTTTTTCTGGACCATTTTATTTTGGTCCTGTGGCTTTAGCTATCTGTATGACTTTATCTCTTACATTTATATCTTGAGACCTCTTTTAAATTCTAAACTATAGTATCTGCCCACTTCTCCCACACCTGGGTTTCCTTAGAATACCTCAGTGACAGCATGTTCAAAATTGAAATCCTAGCACTGGGGAAGCAGATCATGATAGAACTCTTACTCAGTGTGGGCAAGGCCCTGAATTCAATCCCTAGTACTACCAAAAATAATCTACCTACCTACCTATATGTATGTGTATATGAAAATTGAAATCCTGCTCCCATCCTCTTGTTCTCTTCTTTCATATTAAATGATATCATTGTCCATCTGGTTATTCTGTTAAGAAATCTGAAAGGCCTTCTTGACTTTTCTCTCTTCATAAATTTCATATTTAATAACAGGTTCTATTGCATTTGCCACCTAAATCTTGCCAATAACCAGACACTTCTTTATGATTTGACTCTCCAATTCATTTCCCCTTAATAGCCAGGGAAAACCAGCCAAACAACAACAGCAACAATAGTAGATATCCCTGTACCTAATACTCCTTGATGGATTCCCATAACCCTGGAATAATCTGAAATTCTTAACATAGACTCAGCATGGACCGTTCAGCTCTTGAGCTTCACCTGATGTGACAGTCCCTTCTGTCCCTGTGATACTGAGTCTCATTTTCTTTTTTTTTTTTTTTAAAGAGAGAGAAGAGAGAGAATTTTAATATTTATTTTTCAGTTTTTGGCGGACACTGCATCGTTTGTATGTGGTGCTGAGGATCGAACCCGGGCCGCACGCATGCCAGGCGAGCGCGCTACCGCTTGAGCCACGTCCCCAGCCCAACTGAGTCTCATTTTCTTGACCAAACTAAACTCTTTTCACCATAGAACCTTCCTATTCTGCCTGGAACATTGTTCTTTTATTTTGTCATATTTATCTTTAAGATCACTGGTCAGACATCACTTTAAGAAATCTTTTTTAACGCACCAAACCACATTGGATCCTAGTTTATACACTCCCATGGCACCTTGCAGGGGAGAGAAAAAATCTAGAATCAGTACTGTGCCAACTTTTGATAGTACCAACCCAGAGTACTTTTTTTTTTGGTAGTAGAGTTCATCACTTTAACTTTACTTCCACTCCACTGTATAGAATTATTGGCTCAACTTATTTATATCCTCTGTTCAGGTAGTAATTCTTTGGTGCCTTCTTATTTTCATAGCACTTTTATTTCTATATTTTTGTGTTCATCTTTAAAACAACCTGTGAAGTATTTAGATCAGAAATATTAACCCAGTTTTACCTGTGAGAAAACTGTTGTGAAGGGACATAAGTTTAAGTAGGTCATTTAAAGTAACTGTCTTTCACAATGTCTACCACCATTTTGCCACATGAATGACATAAACATTTGCCTAAAAAAATTATTGGGGAGCAAAATAATAATGATTTGGCCTCATAAAATTCTTCAGTGAGTACTTAATATATTCTTCATCATTAGTAAAAATTCTTTTTTCTTAATATTCTAGCTTGAAATTCAGAATCATCCTTTTTTTGAATCACTTAGCTGGACTGACCTTGTACAAAAGAAAATTCCACCACCATTTAATCCTAATGTGGTGAGTATATACCCAAATCTTTTTTTCTAAAGTAGGGAAACATAGAACTGTAGTTATTATAATTTTGGAAATAGATCTCAAAATCTAACCTGAATGAAATAATGTCAGTATTTAAATATTTGTGAAATATGTCACACAGGGTTATTTACTGCAACTAATAACTTTCATAAGTTTGTTAGTTACATTAGGTTAATGAAAATATCTTCCAGCACAGTTGTGAAGTGTTTTTTTTTGTTTTGTTTTGTTTTGTTTTTGGAGCATGAGTGAGAAAGAAATGAATTCAGTAAGTTAAAAGAAAAAAAGCAAATTAAAGTAACTTGTTACGTATCATTTTTATACTTACTAAATCAATAAACATTTTTAAGTAACACTTTCTTATATGGAAGGATCAAGCATTCCAGGTTTCCCTGGTCTCAGCTCAATTTGTAGACATACCAGGCTAATTAATATTTTTAGTTTATAATCTCTTCTGAGATTATAAACTTAATGACTTGGACATTTCAGTGATTCCCTTCCAGTAAAGCAGAAAAAAAATTAAATCACCTGGATTTGTATCCCAGTTTTTATCTGTAAATATATTCAAAGTCCATTAGCTTGCATCAGACTCATAAAGGAAGAATAAAACTACTGCCTGTGAACCTAAGCAGTGGCTGTACTCCATTCCCCATGAACCTGGTCCACTTGGGTGTCCACAGCTAAGAAAGCCCTATCAAAGGCTTCATGACCTCTGTAGCACAAGAGTGACCTTTCACAGTTTTACTTGCAGCCCCTTCTTTCCTCCATCAGAAGGCTCTATTTATCCAGAGATGAGAAAGTAGATGGACAGGCATTCCTGGAAGCTCAAATGCAGAATGCTATCCTGAAAACCCACCTGAGCTTTGTTTCTGAATATAGGGCTGGTGGTAGGTAGAGAGAAGGGGGATCAGTTATAGGGTCTCAGATTCACATTAGCAGAGGTAAGGGGGCCTCTATTATGTGAGCCTTTCTCAACTTTCTCTTTCCCCTCCCCACCCAACAACAAGAACCTTAACTGTTAGTGCAGATAGCCTTACCTCAATAAAAGTACAAAAAGAAAAAGTAGAAATTTGAAGTAGGAAAACATCTAAACTTATTAGGAAAAAAATAAAATCATAAAAACATTTTATGAAGGGTGAATGAAAGAAAAGCCAAGGTGACTAATATCGTTCTTTTGATGTTTTAGGCTGGACCAGATGATATCAGGAACTTTGATACAGTATTTACAGAGGAAACTGTTCCATATTCTGTGTGTGTATCTTCTGACTATTCTATAGTGAATGCCAGTGTACTGGAGGCTGATGATGCATTTGTTGGTTTTTCATATGCACCTCCTTCAGAAGACTTATTTTTGTGAACAATTTGCTATTCAGAAACTATCATGCAAATATAAGACTGCGGATGGGACTGAGACTCCTATTTTTGTGAATATATTCAAATATGTATAACAGTGCCTCATTTTTACATGTAATGTTAAAAACTATGAAAAATGTATTTTCTGCTGTATGCAAGAAAATAGGGCGTTTCAAAGAGCTGTTTTGGATTAAATTTGTATTCTTGTTTATTAAGCTTATTTTTAAACAGAAAATTTAAAAACTGTTATTCTTAGCATTAACCTATTTTTGAAGAAAACTTTTTTGCTATTGACTGTTCTTTTTCCCTCTTAAGTTTACACTAACACCCAAGATAGACTGTTTTGTAGCAGTCTATTTCAGTTCAGTTAACTTATATTAATACCTTTGTAATTCTACTACGACTTTTGTTATCAAATCAGAACTATGCAATTGGTACATGGTTGTTTAAGAAGAAACCGTATCTTTCCACGATAAATCACTGTTTGAAATAATCGGGTCCTGGTAGGGTAAAAATGTAAAAGCATAATTAACATATTGGCTGCTAGTTAACACTGTTAATAACTGTTCATTTTGCTGATAATAAAATAAGTAACAAAGTAGTAAAAAATGAAATCATTTGCTTTTGAAATACCAGTTCAAATTTGTGAATTATTTTTTCTCTACAGGGAAATTAAAAATGGTTTAAAATTTTAAGGATTCCCAAAGATTTGGAGGGTAATAAAGTACTGCCAGAATTTATTTTTAGGTGGTGCCAAAAAGCAACCATATGTCATGTATTTATATTACAAATATATTCTATTTATGTTCCTTTGGGTCTTTTGAATGTTTAATATGCTGTTAAGTAAGTTTAAATCTAAAAGTGGTATTTTTGCTTTTACAAATAGCTATTTCAAACTATCTTCCTAGTTGGTTACATAAAAAGAAATATGTAGCTCTATAGAATATTTACCTGATTGGGAAATGTAAATGTATATAGTTTTATTACACTGTAACAAAAGTTAAAAATAGTTTAGGCAGGTGCATACTAAATATCTTTTTTAAAATTTTCTTTAGTGGTTCTGGGGATCAAACCCAGGGCCTTGTGCCTCCTAAACACTGCTGTACCACTGAGCTACACCCCAAATTCTTTAATTTCTGTATGTATCTTAGAAAAAGTAAGGAGCTTGGCATGGTGGCACATGCCTGTAATCCTGGTGGCTTGGGTGACCGAGGCAGGAGGATCACGAATTCAAAGCCAGCCTGAGCAAAAGCAAGGCACTGAGCAACTCAGTGAGACACTGTCTCTAAATAAATAGAGCTGGGGATGTGGCTCAGTGATTGAGTGTCTCCGAGTTCAATCCCCCGTACTCCTCTGCAAAAAATGAAACTGACTTTAAAATCATAACATACTAGTAATTTGTGCATTTGTAATGGTAAAAGAGAATGGCTATAGAAAAAAAAAAAAGAATGCTTAACTTGGAATTCTGGTTCTGAGAGTGGTGGATTTTCAAGTCCTGTAGGAAGCAGTATTGTGAGAGGTTAGTGACCCAATTTAGATGTCTCTAAGAACAAATTTCCCTTCCATGTATTCTCTTCAGAAAGAAATCACAAAAGCATTTCTCACCAATACCCTTTGGCTCATAATTCAACAGAACAGGGAAGAGGGATATGCTTTTGTTCAGTTAATAATAATTACATTCAATACACTGAACTTTCCTTTAGAGGTTAAATTTTAATATCTACACTGTAAATATTTGGTTTATTTGGCACTACTGTGAGTTCTGCTTTTACACAAAGCTCTTTGTGACAAACCAAAACGAAAACTGTAGTTTCCTATGTGGGTTTTAAAATTCAGGTGATCTTTAATTAAACTGCCAAAATTTAAAGTGCAGTATTGTATATTTTTAGGAACAAATTTAAAATAGAATTTTGATGTTTCTCAGATCAGGAGAAATACAAATTGACATAGTAAAATAAAATTAGCAAAAAGGTTAATGCCTGTCATTATTTGAAATTAAAATTGGTAATGGTTACAATAGTCTTTACAAATATGTGGAAAGGGAAAATAAATTTTAACAAAATATTTGGGCAGATTAATAGATTTTCCAAGTTTATCTTTTTCTCTGACAGCATAAGTCTCTTAGTAAAATACATGCCTTTTGAATAGTTTATTTCACGGTAATTACTAAACTCAAAGATCTAAATGAAAACTTTTTATTGCTCATTCATGTAATTTGGAAGTTAGTTTTGTTTTTGCAGTGGAATTTTCTGCCTCTTGCCTTCACAGATTTTTCTTTTACTGGTTTTTACAGATTATTCCATTCCCAAGTAAAGGTTTATTGTCTAGTGGGGGCCCATTCCTTAATACATGGAGCTTTTTCACTATTTCCTTGTAGAGGGGAAGGGATCAACTAGCTCTCTGGGTTCTCTTAAGGGCACTAATTCCACTCACCTCCCCAAAGCTTCATCTCTGAATGCTATCACATTGGGGATTTGATAATAACATGAATTTTGTGGGGACACAAACATTCAGAGCATATAAATATGAAAAACATCAAGTGTACATAAATGAGTTTCAAGTGGTTTGAGTACTTTGAATGATATGCCAAGTTTTGTGTGTAAAGGAGATTAACGGTCAGGATGGAGAATACTATGTAGCTTTATTAAAATCATATATATATAGGGCTGGGGTTGTAGCACAGTGGTAGAGCGCATGCCTAGCATGTGTGAGGCGCTGGGTTCGATCCACAGCACCACATAAAAATAAAAAGGTCCATTCACAACTAAAAAATAAGTTTTTTAAAAAAACATACACATAAAAATATTGCAGTTTTCTACCACTTTTTTGTTGTTTGGATTGAGGATTGAACCCAGGGGCACTTTTATTTTGCAGGGTTGGGTATCAGGGATTGAACTCAGGGGCACTCAACCACTGAGCCACATCCCCAGCCCTATTTTGCATTTTATTTAGAGAAGGTCTTACTGAGCTGCTTAGTGCCTTGCTTTTGAGTCTGGCTTTGAACTTGCAACCTCAACCTCCAGAGCCACTGAGATTATAGATGTGCACCACCTCACCCAGCCCCAGGGCCACTTTTACCACTGAGCTATATCCCCAGTCCTTTTTATATTTCATTTTGAGAAAGTTGAGGGTGTGGCAGAGTTGCTGAGACAGACCTCAAACTTGGCACATCTGCCTCAAGACTCCTGAGTCACTAGGATTATAGGCATGTGCCACCATGCTCAGCCTTTTCTTTTTTACTCAACTAATACTGAGTCAAATTCTTAACTTCCCCTGATAACATTACAGTTGTAGGCCTATCTAATTTATGTAGCATTTTTGGTGTTTTGCAAATACTGGGTAAGCATCCATTTGTGATCTTGTAAATATTTTCCTCAGCTAAAAAGACCCCTACACAAAAATATTTCTCAATTCATTATTTATATTACACCCATTTTTACAGAGATAATGAAATCAGAAAAAGTATTTAGCTTTTAAAATTAATTTTTAAAATAACTTACCCAAAATTGAGACAATGGAGAATAATTTAAAGCAATACTATACAAAAAGCCAATAGAGTTATTGAGTGTTTCATAGAAATAAAGTAGCAAAGGGTCCTACAAATGAAAAGTAATTTATTTTTACATATTGCACAGGAAAAATGGGTTACCATATGAATGTTAAGGGAATAAGTTAAAATAGTCATATCACACTTCAAATCCTGCTTACTGGAAGAACCAGGACATTGGGTGGTTTTACAAATCCTGCACTCAAATATAACTTGTAAATTTCTGTTGTAATTTTTTTTTTTTTTTTGCAGAAGTGTATTTCATGGGTTCATCTTTTCTTCCCCCTAAAATATTTTAAGCAACTTACTTTATTAGGGAGCAGAGGTTTCCACTTCAATTCTAGTTAAATTTTTGCAAAGTCTACAGTGAGTTGTCAATATTTAAATGTTCTTATTTTTTAATGGTCAACACATGGACTCCAGAAGGCATATATGCAGAAAAATCAACCTACTCAAATGCTAAAATTTTATCTCCATTGAATTTTTTTTTCAGTCTTTCTGAATAGTTAATATGGCATTTCTCTTGTTAATTTTTTTCCTCTAATGACTCAATGATAGTAAATCATAATGCAAAAGTTACAAGCTTAAGTGTGCTGGTGTAGTTCAGTGGTAGAGCACTTGCCTAGCATGCCTGAGGCCTTGGGTTCAGTCCCCAGCACTGCAAAAAAAAAAAAAAAAGCTTACTTTATTAATGATATATTGATGGTGAACACCAACATTTATCTACTTTATTTTTTAAATAGAGACAATTATTCCAATAAGTACAAAGGAAAAAGTCTAGCAGGTACAATTTGTAAAAATTTTTATTAGTTATTGATGGACCTTTATTTTTGAAAGAAAGTTAAAATGTTATTTTCCTTTCAGAGTTTCATTCACACTGGTGGTGTGAAGCAATAGTGGATAAAACAGCTACATCTTCTATGCTGAGAAGCAGAGGCAACACACTGTATGAGTAATAGTCATTATAGTCTTCATTGCCATGCCCTTGCACTAAAAAAAAATTACCCCCCCCCCCCATTTTAAATCCGAAGAGATATCAACACTTTCATGTTCATTGTAGCTACTACTCATGAGAACCAAGTTAGGTGATCAATGTAAGTGCAACAGATAAATTCATAAAGAAAATGTGATATGTGTACCACATAAGGAATACTACTCATCCTTAAAAAGGAAATTCTGTTCTTTGCAAAAATTTTTAAATATATATCCAGTGTGATATTATCTAAAACATTTTAAATGTATTAAGTACATAAAATCTATTAGACTAGTGGATTGTTTGATATAAAACTCCTTTATTAGTTTGGCATATGAATGATTTATAATGGCTAAGTAATCAGTCAAAACTTAAAAAAAATATATGAATACCTTCTTGGACATTGAGTCATCTTTAAAATACAAAGCCTATAGCCTGGCAGTGGTGGCATATGCCTGAAATTCCAGCAACTTGGGAGGTTGAGGCCCAGGGATCTCAGATTCAGGACTAGTCTCAGCAATTTAGTGAGGTCCTAAGCAACTCAGCAATACCCTCTCTCAGAATTAAAAAATAAAAAGGGTTGCAGTTGTTACTTAGTGGTTAAGCTACCCTGAGCTCAATCCCCAATGCCAAAAAAAAAAAAAAAATGGCCCATCATCAGACAATAATCTATTTCCATCTTAGGTGGTACTTATAACCATGGAGGAGCAGAATTGCAGTACAATATAAACAGCCACTCTGCTGTTTCTAATTGATTTCTACTTAAAAAAAAAAAAAAGTGTTGTCTTCACCTCACCACTAAAATAGATTACATTCCTCCATAAAAATAATTTTTTTATACATGGAGAGGGATTTTAACACAGGTCCACTTTATGCTTTGAATATAGCCCTTGCTACTCAACCACTGCAATTTATTTTTAAAATTGGCATGTTTCTTTCTCTTCTTCTCTCCCTGCTCCTCCCTTATCTCCCACTCCCTAATCTCAGAGGAAAGAGGATTTACCTTTCTTCTTCATTCTAGACAGAGTTATCTATACTTGAGAACTCAAGCACCATAGGAAAGAAGAAATCCAGATTTGGGGGATGGTACCCGAGGATCTCAGTAATTAC